AAAAAACTATCAAAATGCTAATTTAAAAAGGTGGGTTTTAAGATGGCGCTTAAACAAACTAACATCTTTAATGGAAGTGCATTCCAGAGAAAGAGCAAGAAATGGCATCTAGCTTTAATCATTACCATCTACACCAGGGTTAAGTTGTGTTCCTTGTGGCGTATCAACCACTCTAAAAATGTCTCCAGTGACCTGAAGTACACTTTTAGAGTGGTTACGGCTTTGGGTTTTCCTGCCGTCCTGTCCCGGTGGGCCTGGAAAAAGCACAGCCACACTTTTTTTGGATCACCGAAGCACTCCATAGAATAGAATCATTAGAATAGAATAATTGATTTAATGTTAAATAACACAGGGAGTGGTCGCCCAATCTCCCGAGCCAGAGGCTCATGTAAACTGTGCTTGACAAGAACAACAACAAAAAATGTATACGATAAGAATTAAAAATCTAGACACAATAAATAATAAGAACTAAATTAAATTTATGATAATCTATATATATGTATATATTTATATCAATAGAAAAACTAGAGGTCGTCACTTTACGTGCTATGTTCTTGACCTTAAACGAAACGTCAGAAGAGGTAAACATTCATGCCTTCCACGTACCGAACAGTGATAGTGACGTACGCTTGCGGCGTCTTACTTCGCCTGCTCCTCCGATGTCTCCCCGTGCCGCGTCATACGAAAGCACAGGTACTCGCGTAGCAGCTCCTTCAAGGTCTTGGTTTTGGGGGCTGCTTCCTGTCCCTTGCCCTGAGGTAGAGATATGTCGGAGACATCCTCATTCTCGCAATCAGACACTGACTCGCAGCCTGATTCAATTTCTGAGTCACTCTCTGATTCCAACCCGGATGATGATGGTGGCTCCTGGTCACTGTCTTCGTCCAGAACCATGATACGCCTGAAAGGAAGAGAAAGAGTAGACCTCAGTATTAATAACTTACTACGTTTTTCTGCTTTATATGCTTACCTCTTTTTCGGCAGAGGTTTTTGTATTTCCCTAACCCCCCCTCCTCCTCCTTCCTCTCCACTTTCACATGGACCCTTTCAAGTAAAAGGCAGCAACATGAACATGATGTGCTATTGCAAATTACTGGCCATACATAAAAATACTTACCACTTTTCGGCTCTGAGGAAGGCAGCTATATAATCTTGTACCCTCTCCTGCTTGGTTATGCCATGTTTTTTTTGCAAAATGCCTGTCTAGTCATATGACCACAACCCTACAGATCAGAAAGTAATCGTGCATTTAAATAGAAAAACTCTATAGATAAAAAAACGTAACTTGGAGAATCCGGGTATCGATCCCGGTACCTCTCACATGCTAAGCGAGCGCTCTACCATTTGAGCTAATCCCCCTTGTTCTTTCAAGATATTCATGTTAGTTACGCTATTATCACATTACCCTACTTAAAGGGTTGCATATTGTACAAATGTTTTATCGATATCACTCCAGAGGATGGTCAAATGTATAGATGCAACCATCCTTAGGTAAAAATAACATGAGATCGGTTGTTAAAAAAGCCCTTAAACTCAATACTAAAAAGAACTTTGAACCTCAAAAACCAAATGCATTATTTGTGTTTATTATACGGCACACTAATTCCCATGTATCGCTCGAATTATGACCGCTTTCACTTGAATTGTTTGGTGAAAATATATTTAAAAAATATGCCAAAACATTTCCCACATCGGGAATCGAACCCGGACCATATGGTAATAAGATATCTGGAATTTTACGATTGGGGTATGTTTCGTTGATTTTATCCGATGAAATACACCATTTGCCGTTTTATAATTAGAAAAGAAGACAAAAATGAAAAAGGAAATATAATTCTCCAATTTTTCTTGAGTCCTACACATAGATGGGGAAGGGATTAATGATAAAACATAGATGGGAAAGGGATAAATGATAGAACATAGATGGGAAAGGGATAAATGATAGAACATAGATGGGAAAGGGATATATGATAGAACATAGATGGGAAAGGGATAAATGATTAACATAGATAGGAAAGGGATAAATGATAGGGTTTTATCGACCCACCTAATCCATTTGCYGATACTCCTTGGCCGTAGAAGGTTACGAAGCCTTCCGTTCATCCTTTGGCAGATCTGTCCGGGAGAGAGGGGACGGAACGTCCGAGCGGCTCAGCAGATTCGTACCAAGTGAGTAATGTAATCGATTATCATACAGTCGATTCAATAGACGATGTCGTCGACCGGCTCAAGCCTACGCGACTGGACCGAAAGAAATATGGGTAAAAACAAGGGCACTAGGACACCGAATGTGGTTGGATTTCTATAGGTTTTTTACCCTTTCGATTATTTGAATTAAATTAACGTTATATACTTGTTTACTTATCTTGTGTCCGTGTTCCTTCGTTGTCTTCGTTCGCTGTTGTAATGCAGACGTTTTCATTCCAAAGGTCAAACGGTTTGAATAGCCTACGAGCGTTACTTCTTTAACGGCCGTTCCGTACTTGACTCTGTTTGAACTATACCAACAACAACGCGACCGCGCGATGCTCCTTACGTCAGTAATATTCAACCGTCCAGTTAATATGGTTAATCAAATTCACCTTAAGTTCTATATAGAGACTCTATATAGAGACTCTATATGCATTTAAATAGAAAAAAGCTATAGCAAAAAACTTAACTTGGAGAATCCGGGTATCGATGGGAAAGGGATAAATGATAAAACATAGATGGGAAAAGGATAAATGACAGAACATAGATGGGAAAGGGATAAATGATAAAACATAGATGGGAAAGGTATAAATGATAGAACATAGATGGGAAAAGGATAAATGACAGAACATAGAAGGGAAAGGGATAAATGATAAAACATAGATGGGAAAGGGATAAATGATAGAACATAGATGGGAAAGGGATAAATGATAAAACATAGATGGGAAAGGTATAAGTGATAGAACATAGATGGGTAAAGGATAAATGATAAAACATAGATGGGAATGGGATAAATGATAGAACATAAATGGAAAAACAATAAATGTCACAAATTATCATATCAGGCTTGCTGATGCGCTCTAACAAACCCTTTAGAAGACGTCACGTGATGGGGGCTGGACGGAAAGACCTGGGAGGGCTGAAGAAACCCGTCCAGCCCTCCTCCATTACGCGCTTATTATTTATCAATTTTAGCTGATTTTTTAAAAGTTTAAACCAAAAATTTAGTGATGATAAAATGCATAATTTTGAGCAAAATATTTTCCTGTCTGACCCCAACCATTCAGGCAAAAAGTGCGAAAGAATACAAAAAAAAAAAAAAAAAAAAAAAAAAAAAAAAAAAAAAAAAGGACGGGAAAATGAGAAATGAATAAAACAAAGATATCAATATAGTGGTAGAAATGTATATTTGAAAAAAAAAATGTTATTAGAATATATAATCTGATCACCGCATGCAGTCAAACTCGGTAGGGCCAGCATACAAATGGTTTACTTTCCTATGAAAATAGAATTAAAAGTGTCTTATAATCGTTGTAGTGCGTTTGGAAAAAGGTTTTTTTTTTTTTCGGAAATATTTTATTTTAACTCCGAAAAATGTTGCAAAGTCACTCTGAACATGAATCAATCCCCTCCCCTCCCCYGTGGTGTTGGTTTGTGTTGACATGTAAACGAGGCAGTCACGTGGTATCAGAGGAGCAGTCGACGAGAATAGTTGTAGTGTGAATATTTTCTGACTAAAAATCCTTCTTTTATTCCTCAAATATGGATCTTTACGGGCTCATACTGCATCCTAAAGGTAAAAGGACCTATCATATTAGCCATTTATTGTTTAATTTATTTATTTAGAGCGATATTTTAGAAATGAATTGATCGTAAAGAGTTCGGTTGCTCGTCGCCATGTTTTGGCGGGATTCATTCTCAACAATTTAGCTTCAAGTTGAACGATTTATTGCTTGAAAAAAACTTAAATATCCGAAATAAATCATGCTTTAATGCTTATTTAGGAATTTAGCAATGTTTTGTGGTAAATTATCTTTATTTTGTGCGATTTGGTTGGATTTTACTGCCTCATCAAACAGACTATTGAAGTCAGTTTTCGTTCGGCGTTTGATTTTTGTTTGCGCTTGGAATCTTGAATGAACTTCGAGTCAGACTAAAATACGAAATAAATACAAGTCATTATAGGAAGAAGAGATATCAGATTTCTCCATATTCAAAGATTACTGCAAGTCCCTTGCGATCGTAGGGTGAGAACTCGCTTAAAGTTCGTTTTGGAAGAACAGATAAACTTTTGTCGATCAAAGTTAGAAAGAACTGCTGCCCATGGCTCTTCAGCTTCACCTTCAGAGTCTTGGGATTGAAGGGTTAAATAAATCATTTTTGGAGATAAAAACCGATTTTTTTTGCGAGGATTTGGGCAAGCAAGCAATGAATCATCTCAAAATCCTGGTATTTTGGTTTCATTGAGGAGATCGTTTCGAGGAGATATAACGATCTTGTTGTCACACAACAGTTTTCTTTGCTTCTAAAGCTTTTGACTCATTTGCAATGTTTCTCTTACTAATCTTGTAATCTTAAATTTGATGTTACATTTAATTTCTCTTACTTCATTTTCCATGAGATTAAAATTTCCTTGAAGCTAAAAAATATGTTTTGGTGAAATACATCAATTTTATTTGGATGCCAAAAGACTTCATATTTGATAAGTGAAAACACCCAGTATTTTAAGTGCATATAAGGGTTGGCTGGTTTCATTTCCTAATCAATATTAATCGTTAAAATTAGTTGATTGATATTGATTAGTTATCGGTAGTAGATGATTAATCCATAGTTACACCAAGATAATATTATCGACTATCATCAATTAGCGTATCATCTGGGCTGCCATATTTGTCCGAACGATTGAAGAAATCATAGATTTGCCTTTTTTTGAATGAATCCTAAATCTCACTCGTCTCAAAAGCATGCACATTTGCACGGCTCACTTTAAAATSAAAATGCTTCATTTAAAATGTAAATACAGGCCAATATTTGCTCAAAGCTTTTCTCATAATAGTCTCCTACGCAGCCGCTATTAGTGTTGTCACGCCACGCTCACTCCCCTAAGTAGCTGCTGCTTACCCGAGCACAACATTCCATTCCCTTTGTCTGTGGTTAATCAATCAGGGAACAGTGTGACATTGATTTACTGCTCCATTCCAAGCAGGAGAATAATCAACATTACCCGAAAACTAACTTAAAGTGAGGATAAATGTTATCTCTGTTCTCAATCTTGTCTGAAGAATAACAGGATTTTTTTTCGTTTTTAACAAAAGTTCTGAGATATTTCAAGTCTTATCATATCTCGATTGACATGGATTTGAATAATTAATTGCAAAGTTTGTTCGTTTGCATAACGCTTGCTACGAAGTCCTCTTAAAGTTTGAGAATTGTACTTGTGATCAGCTCTAGAGGGGCAGCAAAATCTTTTCAGTTAAAAGAAATGTTCTACAGTTCTACAGCTAAGATAAATATCAATAATAGTAGCTTGTTATGAGATTGATCAGGAGTGACACAACAACAAGTGTCATGTTCTTGCTCATTTGTAAGGTCATTAACACGGACAGTTAAAGCTTGAAATACGAGAGATTCTCTGAAGCCTGTCGGCAGATTTATAAGCACATCTCTTTTCTCTTATGCTATGAAACATATAGCTACCCTCTGATAATCGTTAAAAGTCGTTATTTGAAATTTTGTGCTCCCTTTCTCCAACACTCTCTCGAAGTGCGCCATTTTGTAGTGATAATAGTGCGAGTTAGTTCTCGATTTTGAGACTAGAGCTGTGATTGGTTAATTTGAGGAAATGGAATGTTGTGCTCGGGTAAGCAGCCGCTACTTAGGGGAGTGAGCGTTGCGTCATGAAACTAATAGCRGCTGCGTAGGAGACTACTCTCATAATTGCTATACATTTTATAATTTATAGACATTTTTAATGAATTGCTATTTCTTCAAATGGCAAAGATCAAGCCCTGGAATGTGTGTAGCAAATTATTTAATTTGCTTCTCAAATCAAATCTTAAAATAAATAATGCTATGTAGTTCATGTTCCTTTGTGAGTAGACTTTGAAGCCAAAACAGTTCATATAAATACATAAATATAGGCTATACCACTATACTGTCAAGTTCAAGAGAATAAAGAGTGATGATGAATGAATTTACAATCACTTATATCACTTGAAACCCTGTTCTCCTAATCGATCTTCGCTTGTTCGTGCAAAATACTGTTCAAGTAGATGAATCACAAATAGATAAACCAAAACAAGCTTTTGCCCATGAAGTTCATTGAAAATTCTTAGAAATATTCGCTTCAAAATCATCGGCTATGTTCTTGGCTTAAAATCCTTGTTTATGAAATTGATTTCCAGTTCGGCTGTCTTCAATTATGGTGGTCAACGAAATAGAGCATATGTAGACATAAACTTTACCACATGATCTGCTAGCTCCGCCCTCTCTTAACCATTTGACAGCATAGTGACATTGATTGACATCTGGTACATAATAATTGATTGGACTATAGATGGGAACCCTATAGGAGATACTGTGTGAAACCTGCAAAGGCCTCTTGGGTAAGTTCTTGAAGACCCCTGGGTAACTATTGTGCAACTTTGCCATTTTGTTGCAGAGAAAAAAAACAAAGTCATTTTATAGCTGGTATACCACAGGTATCCCAGCAAATATATCTAGTAAATGTCACAAAGACAAACAATGCTTACCTTGCATCGTGTGTTAGCAGCATCTTTAAAAGACCCTGCAGTAAACGGATAAAATGATTAAGACTGTGACACCTCGTTATCTCATACTGCTCAATTTGTTTTTGCTTCTAGTACTAAATGCTTCAAGTTTGCTGGGGGAATTCACTGTCACAGTTTTTGCTGTTGAAAAATGCTTCACTTCTGGAAGAAGACGTTGCCTTTCTTGAACAATTGGTGAGTAAAATACCTGAACCTCCACCTTTATCTAAACTTTGTTGCTATTGCGACAAACAAAACTTTGATATTCAGATTCTATTGCTGTAGTTTACTAAACTGTTGTAACTGCTATGTGCATCCTGAATGTGTATTAGAGTTTTTGCATTTTCAAAATTCTAACGAATGCACCTATTGTTATGAAATGCTAGTCATGAGAATTAGAGATTTTGATCATACAGCTATGGATTACTCCACCTTTGAAAATCCTCTTGAATTTCGTAGTCTGTAGTCTCAATCTGTTTGAAACTTTTATTGAAAAAAGTTATCATACTCATTGTCAGAAAATACTCTGTGAGAAATTATCTTACATAGAACTTCTTAATTGCCTTTGTGATTATGGATCTAAACCTATGCAAAAGTATGTCTGTAATTTTTGCGATTACAGTTCCCTCACACAGCACAGTACTCTTCATAAAACTCAACATTGTACTGTAGATACAGTACAGGCCAGAAGTTTTTCAGGGTCCCCACGCGCGGGAAATGGACGGGCTCCGCGCATGGGCACCGYTCGTACGCATGTGCTTAATTTATGCACGAAGTGTGGACCCCGCTCGTACGCGTGGAATATTCTTTTGTAATACAGTTTTTTGTTCTGGTTAACAAGCCATAGAAACGTAGCTAAAGCAGAGAAGTTATAGTTAATATTATGAGCAATCGTAAATAGCATTCTCAACTGCTTGTTTGACATGAAACGGTAGCCGAGTTTTAGCAGAGTCTTATTGATTTTAAGGAATAAGGATGAATTATGATTACACATGCCATATGACCTTATGTTTATTTCTCAACTAAAACAAATTCTGTTTAATTCAAAGTATTCTATCTAACCATAGTTAACTCAACATTACATTCAAGATCGAATGAGTGGTTGACGTATTCTTGTGTGTGGCCGCTCTCGTCATGTAATCTAAATAATCGTGGCAAAACTTATCTTTAATGTTTCTGATCATCCACTCTGAAGTCCACTTTCAGAAGTCCATTTTCTCTATAGAACACTTCTACATCGCATGTTCTCAAATGTGACTCTGTAGTACATAAAAATATATTAAATTTCATCTCCTAGTACATACAAAATCTATCACTGCAAGACGGAGAGGTGCATTCCAACGTGATTTCAATCGTTCTTGATTTGGCGGAATTAATTGGCGGTAACTGATCTAACACGTACTGCACACGAAAAAAGAATTTTTTTACGAAGTCAAAATTTGTATAATTCATTATTCAGTATTATTCGTATAGTTTGCAAACTGATTCCACTGTTTTGTTTACCATGAGTTATGATGATCGGTCTCGGGTTTATACAGGGGTTGTCAATCTAAGTGGTCGGCAATTTGTTTGGCTCGTATTTGCGTAGTAGAATTCAAAACATGTTTGATCGAATTCGTGATAAGTTTTGCACGGGCTTATGAAGAATTGAAATAGAATAACATTTTTTCAGAAGTTGAATAATGCGTTTGTGTAGTGCATTTTCAAAACATGTTTGATCGAATAGAACTTTTGATGAGTTTTTCACGGGCTGAAAAAGAATTAAATAGTTTGTATGTGACTGATAAACTTTTATCAAAATCATGGAAGGAAATGTTTGTGAAGTCGATTTTAAAACACGATCGAATTTTTCACGGGCCTTCAGTACGACAAGATAATTTCTCGTATTTTTCTTCCTGAATCAAAATACTGTCGGTGTCAAAGAGTTCCCAAGAGAGCCAAGTTAAAGTTAATGAGCTCTTATGCTGCGTGGGACCTCATTAACTTTTCCCGCTCGTACGGACGGGATGCACGCGTACGGTAGGATCCCACGCGAACGAGCGGATCCCGTGTGCGGGGTCCGTGCGCGATACACGCAGTTGACCCTGAAAAACTTTCGGCCTGTACTGTATTAAAACACCCAAAATATACTGGGGAGTTTAGATCTCTTTTCTCTTTTTTTCATTAGGACATTGCAAGCATATCCAAAATGCGTCTGCTTGCTCAAAGTCTGTTTGCTTACACTGTAAAAACTGCCTGGTTGAAACTACCAAAAAAATTGGTAAAATCCATACAACTCAGATAAGTAGCTTTTAATGGTTAAAATAACCATAATAATTGGTTATATAAAATTGCTTAATATAACCATTTTAATGTTGGTTGTTTTCAGCAATCCACTTTAGGTTATAACAACCAATTGAAATTGATTGTTATAAACAAAACATTTGATATAGCCAATTATTTAGTGTCGAGTCAATGCAACTCAGATAACCAGTTTTCTTTTGGTTACTTCCTGTTGATTCAACCAATTTTATTATGGTTAGATCGGAATTGGTAATATCTACCATTTTAATTTTGGTTTGAAAGCACCAAMAACATGAAAAAAAAAAAAAAAAAAAAATCATTTCAATATATTTATTTCACTATAATAAAAATTCATCACCTCTTGATACAACTGATCTCTTACCATAAAATATATGTTATTGAACTTTAACAAAGGTCTTTTGACCCAATTTCTAACAATAATATAATACTGCTGTAAAAAGGTCACAAAGGTAACAAAGGTCTTTTGACCCAAAGGTCTTTGATCCAATTCCTAAGAATAATATAATACTGCTGTAAAACAAGAAATTTTACAAAGAAGTTATAAAATTTTCGACGTCCATTGGAAAAGAATCCTTGGTACTCAACATTAAGTACTCTAAAAATGCATATACATTTTGAGGTTTCCTTTAGGGTAGCTATCGCAGCATTCAAGGGTCTTGAAGGATCTTGCAGGATCTTGTGCAAGGTCATACAAAGATCCAGCAAGATCATGCAAGATCTTAGATAAGATCTTGACAAGATCTGGCATTATCTTGGATAAGATCTTGACAAGATCTGGCATTATCTTGGATAAGATCTTGACAAGATCTGGCATTATCTTAGTTAAGATCTTGATAAGATCAAGTCTGATCCTGTTACATGGTCTCGCTAGTAAGATTGCATGGCAAGATATTGAATATTCAAATCTTAGCAAGATTTTGCAAATATAGATCATGTATTGAATTTCCTTTTATTTTGCATAAATCATTTATAAAAAAAGGAATAAGAGACATAACACTTTGCTATAAAAGAGACGAAGCCAAACCACCGTGATATGTCCTTGTTTATTTACCTTTGGTAAAATTCCCCTAGATAGTGGCTTGCCGAACTTATTTTGAAGATTTCTGGCGTCGATTGTCCTAATCTGATCAACAAGTCCCAGGGCGAATTCTTCTAAAAATCTTAAATTTAAGATTTTGAAACGTTGTGAAGACAAATTCAACTGCCTCAATTATTAGATGCTATTTATATTGCAACAACAACCTTCAATTAATATTCAAAGTGACTCGCTAAAAGTGAAAGTGTTTGTGTAAAAGAACGTGGCCTTTTATATTCTATTCTATTCTATTCTATTGTATGCATAACTAAATATATATCCACTGATATTGATATTTACATTTTGTATTCAGAACCTGAGGATGATGCAAGCTGCATTGAAACGCTGTTCGTTTCTTGTTTTGTTCGTAATGGRAGGGTCCCGCCCATCTCTCTAAACACGTTTAGACTCTTTTGGGACTTCCTCCGCTTTGATTTCTTGTCTAAAACTTTTATCAGTTTTGTAACTTCTTCGCTTCTCCATGGGAGAGGTTTCAAAAGGAAGAATCGGACTTGACTGATCATCTTCGGATGCCAACTCTTCCGAGGACATAAAAATCTACTGTCATCGCGTTGGAGTATTTCTTTTTGTCATCCTCAGCTCAATGATTGAATATTAACCTTGGAAATTCAGTAAATATTTCTTTTGCTTATTAATTGTCTCATTTACCAGATGTATTATTTAGTAGCCCGGGTGCTAAAAATTATCAGAAGCAATAATCAAGCTCCTATTGCTATTGAAATTTCTTTGTTTCTTATATTGTGAGCGAGTTTTATTAAAGGCCAAGAAAACTTTCAAGATTTCTTTACTGGTGATTTAAACTTCAAATTGTTTGCTTTTTCAAATGGTGACGAATTGGAAACTGAGACCATTGTTTTACAATGTAACATGAGAAAAAGGTTCAACTCTAGAGCTGTCCACAAAAGAATTTGATGTTTGCCTTGGCAAACTTTAGCCTGGAACAAAACGGCTTTATAAAATCTTCCAGGCTTTTCCACTGTTGTATTGTTGAATCTTTCTTTGAATGCTGCCCGCTTGCATTCCTTCGCCACCTCCAACATTTGGAAAAACATGGCCAGTACACCAAGCACCTCTGGATCTCCTCTCACTTTATCGTTTGATTTCAAACCCGAAATACAAGACAACGAATATATGGCCAAGTCCATCTATTCAACGACACCAGAAGGGATTTTTTCAGATGTTTTGCATAGTGTTTCTACCTTTACCTTTACCCGCCTTGTTTGAACTTAATAATAATAATAACATCTTTATTTACCCTGATTTAAAAAAAAACGATCAGCTGGACAAAATAGAACAGCTGGTATGAACCGGTGATCAGCAATATAAAATCTATAAAAATCTAAATAAAATCTATACTAAAAAAGAAAAAAAACAACAAAAAACATATGCATTAGGCTACAAAAGATATATTTAAAACGCGTGATTTTTGTGCCTTAGTGTAGATCATTGGTTAAATAATTAAATAATGAAATAAGTATATGAAGAAGAAGAAAAAGATCTATCGTACGGTACACTTATGCTCTTTTTTATCAAAATCTAAAAAATACTTAAAAAGCTTGTTTTTAAAAATGGAAAAAGAGCTAAGTTCTTTCAAATCCTTAGGCAAACTTGTTCCAATGCAGCGCATGTGCGACCTTTACTGTCAGTTGGGTCAGGGGTCGCCAGGGGACTGAACACCACTGGGCACTTGGCTCGTATTCTGGTCTGATTTCTTTTAATATCATGAGTGCTATAAAGCTGGTGACATATGCCATGAATGAGGTGGTGGCAAACAAAGCTTTTAAAGTTTCAACCGTTTGAATATGACAAAAAGGAAGACAATTTTGCTTCATTTCAGAATTTACAAACCAAGATTTCGCAAGAGCCACCTTTTTTCATATTTGATTGAGGGCAGGCAGAACACAGAAAATGAGACATGAGACGAGTCGTTAGCAGCACCAGTGGCGTACATTTTGAAAATAGGTGTAAAGGATTTTAAATTAAGGCTAACTAGCTGTAACGCCATGCGCAACGTGCTTGATTTATTGTTACTTCTATGAAGCTCAAATGTCCGACAATGAAATTGCTTTACAATACTCTTGATTACCATGTCTGTTRGTTTAGGTGTTCCTTTTCCAAAATTGATATTTTGATTACGACTTGAAGGTTAGACATCACTTAGAAATCATCGTCGTCATCAGCATTCTTGTTTCTGCTGATCAAACAATATAAATCAAGATACATCAATATGTTGAACAGAATGTCATCTTACCTTCTTGTCTTTCTATCATGGGTGAAAAATCGCAATCATTGTTCTCATCTTATTACTCCAGGCTTAAAAACCTTAGGCAATACTCACTTCATTGCCTTACTAATTTCAGATAAAACATCCAATAACACTGGTTTACTACATTTCTTAACTGCCGTGTCTATCAATCCAACCTTAGCTGGTACACTTTACTTTTCATTGGCTCCATTGATTTCTTTTGCTACCTGAAACATCTCACCTCTTCTTTTTGTTACCACTAACTTGCTTTCTTCTATCTTATTTAGCTGAAAAAAACAAGTAATCAAAAACAAAATTATTGAGAGGCTTCATAGTCGATGTGTTACTACTTAACAATATTCATTCATGTCACATCTAAATTGTCTACTTTACATTTTTCAACATTTATTTAATACAGTACTGCCTGAAATCATTGCAGCATGGGAATGCGTTTGTTTCGCGTCTTTACCGTGTCCGGTGAATGCAAACTGTACGCGGAATAAACACGAATGGAGGTGGTCAATACGCTCTTTCGTTCTTACTGTGGTTTATAGAACGTACAGTAGCATTTACAGAACATGTGCAATGTGAGTACATTTACAGTGAAAGTGCCCCAAAAACGAGACATCACTTTTTAAACAAATTAGACGCATTATCTGAAAAACGTAGCATAATCATCGACCGAATGTACGTATATAGTCAGATAGTCTATTAATAATGGAAGTTTGAAACTTTCGAATATTTTCGAAAGTTCAATGTCGGAAATATTTGGAAGTAAAATCAGATCTACAAAAACCGTTAAACTCTTCTTTTAAAGTTTATTTAAAAGTATCACAAGCATAATATGTCACTGACTTTTAAGTTAGTTGTTGGCTCCTAAAAGAGCAGTGTTTTTTTTGCCACTAGTTTAGTAGGCTGATGCTCGGCCTTCCCGCTCGATAACTTTTGGCACAACTTTGTTTAGGTGACCAATGTACCGTTGGCATTTTTCTGGCATCACTGTCTTCCAAAACTGTTGGATGCCTGACAGAATCTCTTCCTTGTTCTTAGGCTTGACATCCTTCCAAAGAAAGTGTTTCATTTCATGCCATAGCATTTCTATTGGGTTTATGTCAGGGCTTTCAGCAGGATTGCACCAATGATTTATATTGTTATCCGCTATGAATTGCATCGCTAATTTGCCTAAAATCAAACAATTACAGAAACCCAATTATATAAATTTATTATTAAAATCCGAGATTAAGGATCAGTGTATACCACAATCGACATTTTCTTACTTTTATGTTTGGGATCATTATCCTGTTGAAATCGATGACCATCAGGAAATTGCTCTTTAATAAATGGCAGTAGGCTGTCACGGAGAATGTTCTCTGTAAAGAAGACCTTTTCCTTTATGCCGGTAAAAGTTAGTATGGGTGAAGCTCCCCGCTTAGAAATGGCTGCCCAAAATTCATTGACATGTTTCCTTTGTCCAAGAGCTTGACGAATTTGACATTGAATTTGAATTTGACAAAATATTCGTATCAAATCACTYGCGGGTCGAGTAATGAAAGCCCCTTTGTTCAAAAATCACTCAATAGCAATTACTTAATCAGTTGAGGTATTTGGGAATGGAAATTTTGTAGGTGTCATAAATTTGACTAGGAAAACCATTGCCAATAACGACTACCACTTGTTTCACGATAAGGTCTGGACTAATGATATAGCATTTCAGTATAATTACCCACAATAATTTCCATCTCTGATTAACACATAAATCGAAGTGTCCATGTTTTTCCTATTTTTTACATGTTTATATGAATATCTTTATCCATTATTTTTCTCAAAATATGTTACCGATATACCCTTGTAGCATATGGCTTTTTTTGAGCTTTCTTCATCACAGCTTTCACTAAATCAAAGACTTCCTCTCGTAATACGAATCTCGATTTTACRTACCATCCGCCAATATGGCGTTCTCCTATATGGGCTTTCGATTCCTTGTTGAATGCTACGAATACTACCGCACTCAATTCTTTCTTTAAGCTCATTATTACGCGGACGCTTTTAAGCATCAAAGTTTGTATTAAAATACGCCCCAGACACAGAAAAGACAAATATTAATGTTTATCTTTTTTCACTTGAAAAGAGCAAAATTAATATAACAGTGAAAATCAAGATGTACGAATGTATGATGAATCAGACAAATTCTCAAATATAGGGATCCCTGACTCACTACAGAATTGAGATATCTCACTGTGCATTGATGGAGATATCTAGCAGATGGAGCAAGGATATTGTGTCCCACAGATTCCATTATTTGGCAATCCTTGTCACTACAAAGTGCAAAATAGAATATAAATGATTTCTTCCAAAAAGTAACATGAGAAGATAAATTTCGTATCTCCAAGCGCCCATGTAATATTCTGTTTATTGTATAATTATCAATGAAAGTATGTTTTGTCTTTTTCAGGCAATTCTTTTCGTGTATTTTTGAATAGCCATCGCAATGGAGTTATTTTCACATGTGAAAATAACGTTATTTTCACGTGTGAAGATATCAATTTTTCGAAATAAAGAAAAATAGATATTTTATTGGTAATTATATAATAATTGTTTTTGGAACACGCAGGTTAGAAGATTATACACCCTATGCAAAAAGAAGAGGACTGGAGACGAGTCAAACATGAAAGCGAGGTCCTAAAGGCCTCATTTCAAGAAGAGTGTATATGTATATTGAAGTGTGTTTTTTACTAGAGTTTTTTACTGAAATTTATCGTCTTAACTACAGTTTACAATGCCAACACATTGCTGTGTTCCTCTCTGTACCCAAAAGGGTTACAAGGATAAACAGACAGGGAAGAAAATATCGTTTTTTTGCTTTCCAAAAGATAAAAATATGAGGCGCCGGTGGATTCACGCGATTCGTCGTGACGAGAACAAGGATTTCAAGATCATTGATACAACCAAAGTGTGCTCTCGCCACTTTGAAGCCACAGAAATGAAGATATCACTCACAGGCATAGTTCCAGACGTAGTTCCCTCCAAGCTTGCGTTTTCTGTGCCTTCTACTAAAAGAAAAGCACCCACTTTGAGATCTGCACCGACAAATACTAAAGTCACGAAATACGAGCAAAGTGACAATGAGGTTGACGAGTCATCTACAATCGATGCTGTAGTTTATAGTCCAGAAGAAAACGAAGAAACCTTAAAAGAAACTATATCTGAACTTAAAAACAAACTCGAGGAAGCTCAAGCGCGGATTGATACTCTCGAACGTGAGAATGCAAACCTACGAGACCTGCGATCTAAAGTGTCAACATTAGAAAGTCGGTACCAAACATCACAATCAAGAGTCTTTACTGTTGAACACTTTACTTCAGATGAAGACATTTCTTACTACACTGGATTCCCTAACTATCAGACATTTCTTGCCGTTTATAATTTCCTTGATCCAGGCGAGAGATGCGAAAACATTAATTACGGCACAATCAACAAAACCGTACCAGATGATTTCTATGATAAAGCAGGAGAGGATGAAGACAGTGATGAGGATCTCTATGACTTGAAAAAGCCTCGAAAACGTGGAAGATCAAGGGCACTAAAGCCGATTGAAGAGTATTTTCTCAGTCTCTGCAGACTAAGGAGAGGATTTTGTGAAAAACATCTGGGCCATTTATATGGTATTTCACAGTCCACTCTGAGCAGAATTCTTACACCATGGTTTAATTTCATGTACCTCAAGTTTGCCCAAGTGTGCATCTGGCCTTTGAGGGAAAAAGTGGATGATACTATGCCTGAAATCTTCAAAGAAAAATATCCATCAACTCGTGTGATCATAGACTGTACTGAGATCAGGTGCCAAATGCCCAGTAGTCTCCTTCTTAACAGTGAGCTTTTTAGCTCATATAAAAACCATGTTACTTTGAAAACCCTGGTAGGCATTGCCCCTAGTGGAGCTATCACATTTATTAGCCAACTCTACACTGGGAACATCTCAGACAAGGTAATTGTGGCACGAAGTGGTCTACTAGATCTAGAGTTTAATAATAAAGATTCAATAATGGCCGACAAGGGATTTACTATTGATGATCTGTTGCCTCTGGGAGTGACAACAAATATCCCTCCCTTCCTCGGAGACAATGCACAGATGTCTGGGAATGATGTCATAAACACACAGCAAATTGCAAGTGTTCGCATACATATAGAGCGTGCTATCAACAAAATCAAAAACTTTCATGTCTGGGATTCTGTAGTGCCACTGAGTTTATTCGGTGTTGTGAATCAAATGTGGACTATTTCTGCATTTTTATGTAATATGCAAGATCCCATAATTTCTGAATGAAACTTTGAATTAGGATATTGGGAACCGGATGTTGTATACATTATTTCCTGATAGAGTAATATTTGATACGAGCCTTCAGGCAATTTTCAAACATTTTGACTCTCTAGCATATATGACAAAAAGCAGAGGTCCCATCACTCTAACTTTGTTGCAAGGTGGACGTAAAAGAACCGCTGAGGCCATAAACAATATTCTTTGCCGTGACCACCCTCAGTGTCTAGCTCGAATACTGACTACTTCTTCAGACTAGGGACCTCATTCAGTTAAGGTAAAAAACTATGTATGGGTATCCCTGCCTCAGATTGATGGCAAACTCAATAAACTAAATTAAAAAAATAAAATAAAAAATATATTTATTACAGTTAACAAAATTAAAGTTATTTCAATTTATTTATTAAAGTAATTTACTTGTATGATTGCAAAAGCAATAATCATAATGTAATCAATAATATAATCAATAATCAATGGAAGTCAATTGAGAGCAATCCAAAAATATCTTCTTATATAACCTATCTTGTTATAACTTCATTATTGGTCAAGTCAAGAACCTGCCAACAATCCAGCACACAGAATAAAATGCAAATTACCAGTCAGCAAATAAGGCAAATATGGGCTCATCTTTTATAAATGCCTATTTATTTGTTATATATAACACCATAAATGCAAACATTTTCTGGATGTATGTCAAAACAAAATATTTACTCAACATTTTATAATATTTACTGGTATTTTATTGGTGATACACAGTGAATGTTTAGTGACTATTAAACAGTCTGATAATGAATAATTTTTTTTTCCTACTCCCATTTCAAAGATATAATATAAATTTCTCAAATAGACAGTATTAATACATAAAATTGGTTTACATGATATTGACATGAACATTCATATAATTTCATACTTTAATATTGCCTATTTGCAGAAAAATGGGAAGAACCATGGACTAAAAAGTGCTTAAAATAGTATAACTTTAACTTCTCAGATAAGGTATTCCAAAACTCTCGGTCAAAGACAATTCTTTCGATGCTCATACCCATACTGGTATAAATGATGAAATCACACCAGTGAGCCCTTGTGGCTGCAAGCTGTCCTTGGACTTGGTAAAAGTATGCATGATTCTTCTTGAGCTTTGGCATATCTTGGACTTTTTCTGCAAAGAACCCTAGATCAGTGTAGGCATCAAGTGGAGTGACATTGAATTTTGTTAGCGGACATTTTACCTCTACTAAACCAAATGGCCTTTCACATCCACTATCAATGACTTTGCCATCAGGTGATGCAGCCAAAAATGGGGAGCCCTTCAAAACAACCAAACCACATTTGTGCACTGAAACTGGTCTTCTTGTTGAGAACATGTAACTCTCATATTGCTGCAATGCAACTGGCTCATACTTTTTGCCATGTTCTGTGTACCTTGAAGTGAATAGCTTAGGATTAATAAGATTTCCAACTAAAGTCTCATGATTCCTTTGTCCGATAGCAATGGTTTTGAAATTAGATGAAGTCAGTCTGAATTTTCTTTCTTCTTTCCATTCTTTGCATTCTGATTGCTCTCTTGTTTTATGTTCCATGTTTCTGATTTTTTGTTCATCAACAATTATGTGATTCATCAAAGATTTCTGATCATCATCCAATGATGCCATGTTATCTATTGCAAAATCATCAGTATCTTGGAGGGGAAATGGGGGGTAAGTTGTGAGATTGTTGTTATAGTTCACTCGAGGCACAGTATCTATACTACAAAAAACTTGGAAATTTGATTCTGTGAAACCAAGGTGATAGGCACCATATGATCCCTTGGGGGATTTTCCAAATCGTGTATTTACACATTCTAAACCAGCAGAACTAGCAACTTGACAAAATCCAAACTTTGGGTTTATTTTGACTAGTTCTTCTTTTAATCTGCATTCAGCAGCCACTTGAGACTTGTAAGTTTTTCTTGATTCATATAACTGACACTTGACTCCTTCTGATGAATCTGTGAGGCCCAGCTTAGTTTTCTTAACAATTACCTCCATTACAGGCTGTGCTTTTATTTTGTCACTCCTCCCAGTCCTGTGCCACATTTGTAGGGTTGATGTGCACGTTACTTTAGGATGCATGTCTTCTTCCTGACTCAGTTGCTTGATGTCTTTACAGTCATAAATGCTAAATTTACATAGTTTTATCATAAGTCCTAAGACATGATTGCAAAACCCTGTTTTTCCTGCAACACAGCTACAAACAGCATGTTTAACACTTTCAGTCAATATACACAAAGCAATTTTCAGTTCATGTAGGGGTTCATTTTTCTTAAAACTGTGATGGCACATATACTTGAAGTAAAAGCAGTCTTCATCACTTGCAGCATTTAGTTCCTTTAAATATTCGTCTTCTAAAAACGTTTTGGCTTTTCTATGGCTCGTTGGGACATTGTGACTTTTGCTTATTGATCCCAAAATCTTTCCTGAGTGAGCCACATGCACATTCATCTCAGCTCTTGTAAATAAAGGCATTCGTTTTAGACACGAAGACCATCCCGTTGTTGGGTAAACAATACTAGATTTCGCCGCGGCTTGCTGTACTTGTTGTTCATGACTGTTACAAACGTTTTCTAGTCTGGCTCTTCTTTTCGTGTATATTTGTTGAGGATTAGGGTCAATAATATTTTTATCTTGACCTATATCGATATACTCTTGAACTCTAGGGAAATTCAAAAAGTAGTTTAGAATAGGAGGACAACAATATTTATAATATTTTCACACTTAAGTTATCGGTTCGCACACACGAAAAAATAACTTCGCGAACTTCGAATTTGTGGAATACTACATTTCTGAGTGCTCCAGCAGCCGTACATACTAATTTTAAATCAACTTTCATTCATCAAATTATAAAATTATGCATAATAGTTGTTTTTAGACGATATTATTTTTTTGACAGGTACCGGTTGTACGATAAATGCGCGAGAAGCGATTCTCACCTCTTTCACCAATTGAGCTTTCGTTTTTAAGCCTTTGCCTCGATCTCCTCTACATGTAAGCCAAAATCGTAGTTCATCTGTCTTGAGAGTTGAAGGATTTCGGCCTAAAAGCGAAGCGCCCGGTATATCTTCTTCAGAAAGTTTAGTTGAAGTATCCATTATTACTCAAAACAACGAAGGAAAATCCCGCAAAGGCCTGTAGGACCTCGCTTCCATGCTGCTCGTCACCAGTCTTCCTCATTTTGCATAGGGTGTATACATTTAGGGACCGGTCATTATTTAAGTCTGGGGGGGGGGGGGGGGGGGGGGGTGGAGGAGAAATTGTCAGTGACGCAAAACATTTCAAGGCCCCCCCTTTGAACGCATCCAAGTTTATCGAATACCCCCCATGGGTTGCAGTAAAAAATTTAAAAAATTTCCCTAAAAGTCATTTTCAAATTTCAAGACCCCCCATTTTTCACTAGCAAAAATTTCAGGCCCCCCCAATTTCTCCTCCACCCCACCCCCCTCCAACTTAAATAATGACCGGTCCCTTAGCCCATGAGGATTTTTTTTACTGACATTTATTTTCTAGTATTATAATGGTTTCAAACTTTATCTTATACTATGTTGCAGTTATACAATAAATAAAATACATGTTTAAAGGAGACGGAAGAAATAACTTTGAGGAAGAAGATCAAGTGTTTTGGGATGACAAGTCGGACAGTGAATCTGACCATGAAGAGATAAGAGGAAATGAAAGAAGGAGATTGGTTGAAACTTKGGATATTGATATCGAAGACCTAGAAAGAGATTTTGAACAATCTAGTGCAGAAATAAGTGTTGCCGTTGAAGCAAGTTTCTGAGTGACCCTTATTAACTGGATTGCCTTGTTTGTGTGCTTTTGGTCTGCATACTTTTCTGTACCAGACAGAGGCATTGATATTCTACTCGCCTTTTTTAAAGCGATTTTTCAGGTTTTGTGTGAGCTTACGCCAATCATTTTCCCAACCGCAGTATTGGTTTTCCTTGAAAAATTATCTTTCTTTTAAAAAGAAGCATTCAAAGTATGTTGTTTGTCCGAAATGTGACACCCTACACCGTTTTCAAGACTGCATTACAACAAGATTCGGGCGTGTCATTGCTAAACCATGTTCTCACATTGCTTTTCCGAATCACCGTCAATTGTTTTGCCGCACACCTTGTGGAGCGGAATTGTTTAAGGAAATTCGTTTGAAAAATGGACAGACGAAATTGTACCCACATAAAGTTTATTGTTATGAAAGCATCAGAGAGACTCTAACTCACTTTATTAAGCGACCAGACTTTGTACAAAGATGTGAGATGTGGAGAAATCGGAATGTACCGGACGATATTTTAGTTGATATTTACGATGGCCAAGTGTGGAAAGATTGGCAATATTTTAACGGCACTCCTTTTCTTGCCCAGCCTAATGATTATGCTTTTATGCTGAATGTTTACTGATTTCAGCCTTTTAAGCACAGTGTCTATAGCGTTGGAGTCATATATATGGTCCTCCTAAATCTTCCGAGAAAAGAAAGGTASAAAGAGGAAAACGTAATAATAGTTGGGGTAATACCTGGTCCACACGAGCCCAAATTGAATATCAATACGTACTTACAACCACTTGTAGCCGAATTGAACTTATTGTGGCACGAAGGCATCCAAGTTCGACCTCATTGGAGTAGAACAGCAAGATGTTTTCGAGCTGCCCTCCTTTGTATTGCTTGTAACATTCCTGCACTAAGAAAAGTTTGCGGTTTCTTAGGATGTACTGCTCACCGAGGGTGCTCAAAGCGCACAAGATTTTCCCCCGGAGATTTTAGTAGCATGGATGTTTCAGGTTTCGAAGATGACGATACACCAAGGACAAATGAAGAGCATGGAAGAGAGGCTCAGAAAATACTTAATGCAACAACCGCTGATGAATGAAACCAAATTGAAACTTCCGCTGGAACAAGATATTCTGAACTCTTACAGTTGCCTTACTTCGATTGTACTCGTTACCATGTTGTTGATCCTATGCACAATTTGTTTTTAGGGACAGCAAAACATTTAATGAAAAATTTATGGCTAAATGCTGAAACGCCAATTATTTCCAAAGGAAATTTGAATAAAATCCAGGAAAAGTTAGATGACTTCAAAGCACCGTCATTTATTGGGCGTCTCCCGAAAAAGATATCAATATCGTTTGGAGGATTTACTGCTGATCAGTGGAAAACATGGACTCTGTTGTATTCTGTATTCTGCATTTGGAATATCGTTCCAACACATGATTTGGAGCTGTGGAGGTTATTCGTATTGTCCTGCTTTCACTTTTGCTCTCCACTTATTACAACTGAAGAGCTACAAGAAGGACATGATTACCTAGTGGAATTTTGTAAATCGTTTGAAAAAAGATACGGAAAGGAACGTGTTACGCCAAACATGCATCTACACCTGCACCTCAAACAATGTATTTTAGATTACGGKCCTGTATATTCATTTTGGCTTTTCAGCTTCGAACGTTTCAATAGGATTTTAGGAGCGTTTCGAACTAACAATAGATCTGTTGAAATACAAATCATGAGAAAAAGTCTCCAAAAGCATGAACTAAGAGATATCCCTTTACCAGAGAGATTTCGAGAAACTTTCCGACCAGTATTTCAACTTCTTCAGGAGGCACAACACGTAGGAACACTTGGCGAAAGCATCCCATCAATACCATCAACACTTAATCTTTCAGTTGGTCAAGTACTACGTTGCTTAGAGTGGAGCAATATGAATGCATACTCATGTTTTTCACCTCGATCCATTGATGTTCTTGATAATGACTATACAGAATATCTCTTTAAAGCTTATGAAACAATTTTACCTCAACACTCGGTCAYTGAATKTGTTACCGATACGTTTGAGAGAATTAGTACCATTGGATATTCGGGGACAAAGCTAGGGTCCTCTGACTCTAGACTGGAACGTTCTTCCTTCATTCTTGCAAGTTGGTGTGGCCAATATAGTGGCAGTATTAAGTCGATTCATTTGACTTGCTCCCCGGTGTTGTCGATTTCTTTCTTAAACAAACCATTACAATTGATGGCAAGCAGGAATCATTGTGTATGGCAAAGGTTCGATGGTTTCAGCGTCATCCAGAAAGACACAGGATTGGCAGACCACATGAAATTTGGTGCAGAAACTTGTTTGAAATGGAAGGGCCCTCTACATTCATTCCCATACAAAGGATACACAGCCAGTTTATTGCTGCGTACGATGTTATTGACAAAGAAAGAGTATTAATTGTTTGTCCTTTACAACGTAAATTGTACGGATGATGGAGATGACAGTAAAGTATCATCCAGGAAAAATATTCAAAGTTATCAAAAATAAACTGTTTGAACTGTGCATCAGTAACTAGAGAGTCAAAATGAAAATTGAATGACTTGTTTGATGAGTTTAAAATTAGATGAATTAAAATAATTATGAATGAAATTGCATATATTGCCAATAAAAAAGATGAATTCATATGTTCAGACTAAACAAAATTGATGCTTCAAATAATATTACGGATGTTAGCGGTTTGAAATACAGCTGAGGTTAATGGGTAAGTTTTCTTATTGTCACTGGAAAAAACGCATGTACGACTTACGCATATCATAAATACATCGTCCGCGTTTTTTCCTGTGTGTATCAACGCATATAACCTCACTTTCATGACATCAAAGCAAAACAATGATTGAATGAATGTGGTCGCAACATTGATGTCATGCGTTAGGAGAAAAAATTGACATATATGACTGAGATGGACCTGCATGCACTCACCCCTCGAAAGTCGTAAAAACAAGCCAACATCCATCATAATTCAGTTGAAAAATTATTGATTTGTTTTGAAATGTTTTGATTGCAATGAATTGAAACGGAAACCTCACATCGGATATACTCAGTTTGGGGTATTGTATTTACCCATGTGTTCWGATGTATGGCAAAGCAATGGCAAATTTATTAGAAATTCACCCCGACCTTTGCCTGCATACACTGCAAAAACAGCTGAGTGATTACAACTCAAAATATCGAGTTTACACATGCATCCACAGTAGTGAGTAAAAATGACGTTTTATAAAGAGTAATACATACTCAGAGTCAAGAGTATTTAGTACTCAGGAATGAGTACAAGCTACTCCTTCATTAGAGTTAAAAGTACTCGCAAAGAGTAAAGTTTACTCAAAGTCTCGATAAATGTTACTCAAGAAAAAGAGTCATGAAAACACAGAAGAAACGCATCCACAATAACTCTTTATTTGGAGTAAAATGATTCTTAACACATAAAATTGAGTACATAAATAAATGCTCATTAAAGCACTCATTATAATATTAATACTAAAATTTATTGATCATGAATATTCAAATGTATATAACAGATATTAAAACCCTAAAAAAATACTGTCATTAAAAATACATTTAAATATTTTGATAAAATGGAAGAGTGAAACAATAAGAATAATAATAAAATAGATGCTAAGCATTTGAACCAGCCAATTGCCGGATCTTTTTAGTACATTTGTCGTTAAAAATACTATCAACTATCATTAAACATGCAGTTAAATATTGATAAAATCGAAGAGTGAAACAATAAGAAGAATAAGATAGATGCTAAGCATTTGAACCAGCCAACATCCTTCCTGTTAGGGAAAGMATGCATCATAAGTTTTTCCCCTTTCTTGATATGCATAAGAAGGTTGAATCCGAACGAAATAGCATTGTGTGATTGAGGTAAAAGGATCAAAGGAGACAAGTCATTTTGTCTGGCATTACAGTCARAGGACATGAAGCGTGCCGAGCTAGACTGCAGTATTCAATTCATAAAAAGATATTTGCTTGTTCCAATCTTCTGTGAATGAAATAAAATTTAAATCCAAACTTGGATTGCATCAGTGAATAGTGACTCAAGTGTAAACCTGTTAGAAACTAGATGCACTCTGGTGCATTTACTCGGGCTACCATCAAGATGTCCAACTGCAGTCATGTGATTTCGACTCTCTCTGCCTCGTTTTCATAATTACCTCGTTTTCATGGCAGATTCTCAACAACGATAGATAGAAAACCTAGATTCGGCCTACCACAGGTAGCCCGAGTAATTATGCCATTGTTTTCAATTGCACAGTCCTTTATAAATTATACTAATACTTCAATAATACTAACCGGAATGAACTGCATGAAATCACTTTGGCACACAGACCCAGGTTTTGGTTGGACCAAATATGGCAAAACAGCCATTGAAACTTCTGTTTTTCATCTGAGAAAGTAAAAAGATAATTACCTAAATATACATGACATAGGTATTTGTGTGAAATGACTGACAGGTGATACTTAATGTATTTTGTCATTATTTTATCATTTTGTATAGGAGAGTAAAGGGGGTTCTGATAATTGCAGTATATTCATGTAGATATCACATGTGACATTCACTCTATATGTAAAAATTAAATGAACCAGTTGAAATAATTTAACTTTACATTAAATACTTATATTTTAATTTCAGAAAATGATAACCCTCTCCGTTTGTCCACTCCCTCCTATCTGCTAATTGATGATCATTTCCTTTTAGTCAAAATACAAAGGTGATTATTAAAAATCTCGCGCGCTGATTGGTCAAGAAACTCACACTATCACATGATAATCACCTCCAGCGATAATCCAAAATGACGCTTTGTTGCTGTTACCGGGAAAAATTGTCTTTTATTTTCTTTTTTTTGAAAGAATCACCTATGTATTTATACCAAAACAATTATTTGCCTCAGCCTCAGTGAATATCGGAGAATATTTACCTCGTCACTTGAAGACTTGCGTCTCGGTAAATATTCCCCGATATTCACTTCGCCTTCAGTGAATAATTGTTAAATAATCACTTCAGTTTCTGCCCTTCCTTTCTATTCATTTATTAAGTTCAATTACAAAGTTATTTTTGGTGGGATGTGTAATTTATCGTAAATGCATAGCCCCTTCCCAAGTGTGGCCTCTGCATCATCATCATCATTCTCTCTGTCCAAAAGGGCTAACATTTTCGGGACTGCTTCAACTCTCTTTGCGGTTTTACTTTCTTTTGCCACAGTCAGTATGACTTCTGCCACTTGGTGGAAATTGGCAGTGAAAGTAGCCACAACACTCTGTTTCAGCCCAAGGATTCTTTCAAATTCTGCGACCATCTTTTAAAAAAGATGTATTTTTTTAGTAGTCTGTTCTGAGAACATTACATTATAGTGTAGCTACAGTGCAAACAGTTATTTTTTGACAAATAGCTTATTTGATGTTGTTTGTACTCAAGCCAGCCAAGAACACAATTTTGTTTTGTCTTGATTGTGTATTTGAAAGTCTACAGTGGCCTTGATAGCAAGACTAGTAAATGCAACAAATACTGACTGGCGTTGTTGTGAAAATGTTTATGTTGCAGGTCATCCAGTTCTGTTATTTACTCTTAATGTTATCCCAAATACAAATACATACCTGATCAAAATTGAATAATGTTGGATATTCTCTTCTGATGGCCGACATTGCTGGACTGACATTCATGAAACGTCTCCTGTCAGGAAATGTTATTTCCATTCTGTTGGAAATTTTCTCCTAATCAGGCTTTCTTTTTGCACTTTCACTCTGCAAAAAGATTTTGTGCCTCTTTAAAGACACTTCATCTTCTCCCTCTGGGTATTGGGGTTCCCAGTTGATAGCCCCTCTTTTTAGATTGACACTCATTGTTGAAGTTGTCTTTTCGTCGGTCTTTCTCCTTTTATGTTGTATGACTTCTGGGTCATCCTCAATAGGCTTCCACTCGTTTCTGAATTTTTCATACAAACTTGCATGCCATGAGTCCTACAACATGAGTAATACAAAAAGGTGTTCATCAAGCAGGGTTGTAGGATTCTTACAAAACAGTCATTTTGTTAGCAGTTATTTTTAACTTGTAGAGCTGGTATATAAATAATATTAGTAGAGCAATTTCCTTAGGTCCACTGCAAAAGCTGGTTGGAAATTAAGCAAACCTCATTAACATGTAAAAATGTGATAGTATAAAATAACTCTGATAACTACTTACGTATCCTGTTCCAATCCAACTGGTTATTGTCAAAATAAATTGAAGGATAAAAAAACTATCCCGACTCAGTCCAAAATATGTTTTTGAACATCCGAGTATAATACGCGCCCGTGTATAATAGGCACCCTGTATTTAAAAACTCGTTTCTGAAAAAAAAAATTGTTATATTATAGCGTCTTTAAAAACTACTCGACCATGACGAATTSGGAGCCATTTCAAAACATGCGTTTTGACTCCCGTCAATCAAAACTCCAATACTCCAATGCAATATCGGTTAACTAACTTTTTTTTAGCTCTTTTGATGTTCTTTCTGGCAGCTGCATTGGCTTTCTTGAGGTCTGACATTAAAAAATTTCTTTTTGCCTCCAATAGTTTTCTTGTATTTACATCATTAACATCCACTAACTCTCTGTTGATCTTTCCAAGTTCCTCAATATCCGCAGCAATTTTGTTTGCATTCCTCTTCATAGTTGAGGACTTTTGATGAGGAGCAGTGCTTTTTAGGTTTACAGCATCATCTATCAAAAGTCCAGACTGATGCTCTCTCCATTTCTTGTTGACGATCTTTCCTATTTAATCTCTGGAGTTATGTGTTTCATGGCACAGCTTTCTTCCCATGTCATTCCAAAATATTCTTCTTTTCTTTTCCATTCCTTTTGCTAGACCAATTTCAATATCTGAATAAACTTTCAGTCCTCTCACTTAACAAGAAGACATTTTTCTTAACCCAAACATTGAAGCCTGGCTTGTTTTACTTGTACAAGGTTCTTGTAAATTTGGAGGATCATATTGTTGACTTGTTAGAGGTTCGCCAGGATCAGAGTGTTCACTTGCTTGCGGTTCAGGATCAGCGATGGAAATCTCTATATRAGTGCTCTGATCAACCGATGAACTTCTTCTTGTGGCTACWGAAGTGAGGCCAGTCTTTGGTTCATCTTGCCTGCTGACTTTTCCCCCGTTCTGACAGATAAACAAAAAAGGGTCTACATCCAAATCATCTTCGATGTCACGGYGGAGCGTCTCCAGAGTATCATTAGTATCTACAGCAGGTAATACTCCAACGACTTGTCCGTTCTTTATAATCTTTATGGCAGCCATCGTTTTGTAAAAAAATATTGTTGTTGCTTACAGTGTGTGATCACACATAGTGTTGCTAGATCGAGAGAAATTTCCGTATCACATCTTGCTTGTCCAATCAGAGCGCTTTGAAATAGACACATGATGTTGACCAGATTGCCTTTTAACACGCCGGTATTTATTTTTTTGGCTTAACGTTATTTTTTAATTTATTTTTCTTCTAGCAGAAGAGGTTGCACGATATTTTGTTTTGTTTTTTTTTGTTTTTGTTTTGTTTTGAGGTTTAAGTAATTGCTCTATTTTTTGGGGGGGATTTACGCAACCCCCCCCCCCCCCATCAACTATCTAATGGTCCGTCCCTAAGACGGAAAGCACGCGTGTTGACGTCAAAATTGATACAGTAACACGAGTAATTGTAATAAATTGTGACCTTTTGTGTATTCTAAAACCATACTGGAGGAATATAGAAATCCTAATCAGAGATAAACTTAAAACAGTGATGCCTGCGGACGAGGCTAATGGATTTACTGATCGCTTATGCGATATATCCTAGAACCATGTCACTTGAGATTTTTGCTTCCGGCCACACACGCACACACGCACACACACACACACACACACATGATGAGCTTCATGCGAGATCGAAAAGCCGGCCCCTGCTGACATTGATTGGTTGAACCAACCAACATCAGCGGGGGGCGAAAGTTAAGTAGGATCTCCGAGGCGTTGTAATCCGCACTTAACGATCAACTCCTGCTATTGTTAAGACTAAAAGCTGTCAGGAAAATATGATGTTGTCCAGAATACGTTGTTTATTCATCATGGCATGATAACTAACGATATTAAGAAAATGACGAATAGCACAAAACTTTTCAGTGTATAAAACGCTARGTCCTCAAATCCTATATAAGATTAAAAAACAACAACACAAGCACAGTCGTTGGAATTGAACAATGAAAATTACATACCCAACTTCATTCACAATTTTTCGGAGGAACAATTCGGAGGAACAATTCGGAGGAAAAATATAAAGTTATTGTTGTAATAGTTAAATTTCAAAAGAGTTTAATTATCTCAGGGCAGCTTGGCCTTTCTTTGGGATTCGGGGACAGACATCTCAAAAGGAGTTCAGGCATTTCTCYAAGTTTTGACTTTGTGTAGATCTGCTCTACAATCTTAGCAAAGCCAAAAATATCGCTGGACAATGATTGCCCTTGACGTCCGTCAACAATCTCAGGAGCGATGTGCGGGTATTTCCTCAGGTATCTCTCTTGCTCTTTTTTGGTCAGATTCTTGGACGGGCACGGTTCTGTAATATGTCGGCTCTTTCCAAAGTCGATAATGATTGGAGCAAACAGATTTCCTTGTCTCTCTAACAAAACGTTGTTGGACTTGAGGTCATTATGAAGAAATCCCATATCGTGCACATGGTTTAAAGCCTCGGCGAACTTTTTGATTATGGGACACCAGTCTTACTTGCTGGTAATTCTCCTTGAGTACAGAGCTCGCGCAATTGTCAGACTCGTTTTTCCTTCACCGTGAAATTGCAGTATAAGCTTGTAAGGCTGCCTTGTGCTACAAATGCCGAAAAGTAAAGGGAGGGTGGGTATATCTCCAAGCTTTCTGATCACTTCTGCCTCACGTAGAAGTTCCTGTTTGGTGCGTTCAGCTGCACCATTGTCACTTTCAGAATGTTTGTGTTCTTTCAACTCCTTAACAACAACCATCATTCAGCGATAAAATGCCAGGTAGCAGTTCACGAAGGTTCCACTTCCAATCAATGTTCCTGTTTTTATCAGATGCTTTTCGTTTATTTACTTTAAATTAGGGCTTCAAGGAGGCTCTAATCTAGATTTCTTAGTCGAGGGTCCTTCTTCATCATACGGACTGCTGTCACACTGGATACCTTGTTCCACGTGCAGGGCTGCTTGTCTTTCTAGCCTTTCCTCCAGTAATAATTGTGCGCGTTTCTCAATTCTATCTTCTCGATCTCTAACTCTCTCCTCGGCAACCTTTGACTTCTTTCTTTGAAGCCAGCGTTTTCTCTTCGCGTTTCTTCTAGCCTTTCGTTTAGAATTAGGTAGGCTCTCTGCTTCCATGACTAATTGAAATTGGCTATTTGGCGTAATTAGAATCGTAATAGCTGGTTTGGAGTATTTAAAAACGATAGACAAATAGATAAATAGAGACAAAACTGATACCGAATATTTCCAAACTTTATACCGGCACCTTAATATAACCAACCATTCATTAACTGCCGTTTCAGCGACTGACAGTAAGGAGAAAACATACATCGATCACTTTATTTACATCTGATCTTCACGATATTCTCAACACTTGCTATTGTGTCCGTAAAGTGTTATTTGGTACTTGCACAACAGAAATTCTCCACGCGTCGAGATGGCTTCAACATTTCAAGATCCCTCCAAACGCAACAGGGAATGGACTCGGAGGCTCCCCCAGGTCAGCTTATATATTCGCGTKACTAAATACTGCGAAAAATCTGGGAATTATTTTGGGCTTAACCAATTTTAAATCTGAAAAATGTAAATGGTAGGCAAAGGAAAGTTATTTTTTTGCTGTGGCTTCAGTTTTATGAATTATGATTGTATATTTTATGCGAGCTGTTGAAATATCCCTTAACTTGAAGTCGTTCTCCCGGGCGTTTTGAGCTCAAAATACAAAAAAAAAATCAAACAAAAATTAATGATCTGAACCAACTGAGAATCATATTTCTTGAACTACCAAAGACATTTAATTGAGCAGAGTTTGAAAATTTTCGATTTTTTCGATATCTTGCATAGGTATAGGCGATCCTTAGGGAGAGATCCTCTTAATAGACAATGTTTAGAGATTCTATGAACATTTGATGACAAAGGAATGTAGCGAGGATAGCATAGATTGTTCATATTTATTCCACGGTGGGAATGGTTGTGGCTATTCATGGTGTTCAGCCAAGGTGAACGAAGGGACGAATATTTGATTTGGTGGTAGATCGGGAAAGGATTGGCTTTATCAGACGAATATCATCATCCTTTGCTGTAGATCGTCCACCACGTTTTCCTCTGAATTGCCGTAAAAAAATTTTTTCTTAAGCGTGCGATTTGGCTATCTGTGTCTCAAGCACAAAGATATTCACTGGAGGTGGTGGTTGAACTTCTACATGCTCTCTCTAGATCTGTGACTCAACAGTTTTAATGGCTGAAAATTCTGTGTCTGATACGCTCAAACCACTAACAAATACACACACCGTTCGAGGTAGACCCACACTAAAAGATGTCGAGCGTTTTCGGAACATTTTTCCTTTTTCTCTTTTTTCCCCTTTTCGTTTCTTTATTGTAATTAAACTGTTAGTTTTTCATTTATTTATCTTCTTATTTAWTTGTAAATCTTCATATATTTATTTAATGTAATATATCGCCTCCCGCCTAGTTTAAATATAGACATTCTTTTGTAAAATAAACTTAAAACTTGAGATAATATGTACTTATTGACTGAGTGGGAGGGCCGGACGGGAAAATATTTGGCTCGAGGTCATGTCGTACGGACCGAGCGCAGCGAGGTCCGTGCAAATGACCAAGAGCCAAATATTTTCCCGTCCGGCCCGACCCAACTCAGTCAATAAGCATTTTATTATATGACCCAATTTTTATCGTAAAAAAAGGCTGAAAGATCTTGCTAAACTTGATAAATACAGCGCGCGTAAATGAGAACAAATAGGAGAATTCCTTTTTATTTGATTGAAAAGAAGCCATTTAACAGTCACTGTAAACACGAGGCACATTTCAAGAAGTAAAATTGTTTTTAATACATTGAAAGTTTTAAGTTGTTTTAATACACTTCGCAAATAGCTATTTGGTCAAAAGTCGGGAAAAAATAGCAGCTTGGGAACTCAAAAATGTCTATGTCAACTCAAAGTATCTTCATGGACAAATTTCAACGTTTTTAGACTTAGTTAGTCTTCTTCATCTGACTCGATCATAAAACGACGTTTCTTGGGTTTGACCAGACACGAACTAGAGCTTTCTTCATGGCCTGAAAGAACAAGATTCTGAATGTTCAATACTCCAATGTTTGCTCCCCCAAAAAAAGAACCTGCA